GTATTTTCAATAGAAGCCCAACTTTGAATGGTTCGTTGGTGAAAATATTTCAATGTCAAATATTTGAAAAAAAATAAATTTAATTAATCTTAGATATTTATTCTGGTGGAATTCCGGGTTGTAACTCGTAAAGATTCTACTCAGTTTTAATATATTTTATTTATTTATATCAAATGGCAGGCGTTTTGGTAGTTATCATTAGCCCTTTAGTTGACTACAGGCTTCACAGATGGGAAGGAACATCAAAGTGAAAAAAAGGGGGACAGAAGAGTGTTTCAAAGATGTAAAAGAGACAGACACAAAGTTGGAAAAAAGGTGTGGTGAGTACGGTCGAAGTAGTCGAATTTGACATACAGTGGGGTATTGGTAGTTTGAAGTCAGAAGTCAACTGCCGAATAATAGACTTTTTTGCCGTATGAGTATACGTTGCCCAGGGTGCACCACGTGGAGGTATGTCTATCGCACACCCCAGTTTTAATATATAAAATTGTATGCTGCAGCCAATTTATCTCATGTTTTCTGTCCACTGCATTAAACTCTTTCGTTGCAGTGCTACAATATCAGAATGCGCGGTCGAGTTTCCTGACTGTAAGAATGCTCGTAGCATGAGTTACCACTTGGTTATAGGTTCATTCGTCAAGAAATTCAAATTTAAGGAACTCAACTCAACAGTCGAACAAAGGATCTCAATCGAATGAGGAGTAATGGGAGGGGGAGGGGGGTGGGGTCGGGGGTTGAGAGTAGGTGAAGGGGCAAATGTACGAGCCTCAGATGCGTGGAGTGGCTTGAGTGCGAATACAACATGTTTCTCTCGTTCTGATACTCTCATATGCTTGAAAGTGAGGGGATACAGCACAGGTTCAATCATTAGTTTCTTACCGAAGGGACTCAAACGACTTTTTGTTTGGTCTTCTATCGTGGTAAGTGATGCATGGTCTTAATAAATAGTTTGTGTGTATTTCACTAGATGCTAACTGAGGGACAATCATCCAGTTGATCAATTCAAATATAGGTTCAATTTGTGACCTAATGCTTAGTACTAAGCATGAATTCACTGAAAATTTGAATTGCCTGTAGTTTGCCAATAAGTTGGATTGGCATGACAACCATCACAGATCAATATTGAAATAACATATCTACTGATTTTATTTAAGTACATTTATTATAGTCAACAATATAATGCAGAGATAATCCTGAGAGCGATATTAACAACAAATGATTGGATTGGGATAATATGGCAATGATAGTGGTGGTGGTCACGATGTTAGTGAGAACAAGAAGATTTGAATTGGCGCAGATCAGTACTCGGTACCTCGAAGATTTGTTGTTGAGGCCGTCTTGGAGGTGACATCGTTATCGTTCCATTGAGATTCATCGTTTTCCAGTTTGGAAGCTGTATAATCACCTAAAAATTAATTTAGTTATTTAATTGCTGCATAGTTGGCGTAAAAATCGAAAATTGCAATGAGCTGGAGTTGGCGCTTGATCGAAAAACTCGTGAAAATGCACATTTTGTGCCATTTGCACGTGGTGGAACACCAGAATTCAGCTAAAATAGGCCATAATTATGTATTCCGGTGTTATGTTGATTAAGTATAGGGAAGTTTATAGACTTTTCTGACTTATTTCTCAAAATAATCTAAAATTCAGATCTGGGGAGTAGTACATGATTACCCTGTTGGTGGAAGTTGTTCAAAAAAATTTCGTTAGACAACAAGCCTGCAATTTGATACATTTTAAGAATACGTGAATTATAGGAATAGGTGAGTTTAGTTAAGCCTACATGAAAAGCTTTGTTTACAGATCATGATAAGATGTAAAATTTTGTTAATCTCTAAATAAAGTGCGTCAAATTCATAAAATTGTTGAATTTTTTTGACGCTTGAATTTGTAACTTCACTAGACGTAGAAAGAAAAAAAATCGAGAATCTGATTTAAAAATATTGACTTTTGACAGTGGAAATTGGCCTATTGAAGGATTTAAGAACTAAGATGGAAATATTTAATTTACACGCGCATTCGCTACCGGTTAATTAGTCCCCCTAGTTCCCAGTCACTTGATGAAGGAGCGCAGAAGATGACTTTCTGGTTGAAACTTAATTCGTTCCATCTTTTCTGTTTACATCTGGTGAAATCCAACTACCGATTGCCTTAGCTCGCTCATATTTACGGCAATAATAATAATAATAATAATGAAATAGGTAGGAATTAAAGGGTCACGATTTTACAATAATGCAATGCGTAAAATGGGAAAGATCGATTCACATTGACATGTGGAAGAGGTTTAAGGTTAGGGACCCTATTGAATGGTGGATACGTTGAGTAAAAGGAAAGAAAGAAGTTTCAAGTACATACAATCATTAACTTTTCTGAGGGCAATTATAATAAAGAGAGTATTATTTTCACTATTCTAACTCGTGTGGTTTGCTTAAAATAGAAAATGTGAAATAACCTAATTAAGGAGGCAATGGGACTCTCTCGTATTGAGGAAGTGATTTGTTTAAATCGTTGTGTTGGGGTGGGAAAGAGGCAAGAGATCACCGGAAACGGTGTTCTGACATTGATTGGGAGGTGAGGAAATTAAGGGCTGGGTGCAAATGCAGAATGACTGCGGGTTTCCGTCACAGTGGTGACGCCCAGAAAGTCATGTGCATTTGTTCAACAAATTTCTCCCATTACGTAACGCCTTTCCCCTAAGTTTCATATCTAGAATAACCGGATACGATCCCACAACCTCTCTCCCCATGTATGCCCATAAATAAATACGCACTTCTTGTTTTGCTATTGCATCACAAATGTGTGCCTTTATGACTTGAAATACCTTCGATACTGCGAATATATTCCATGAACTAGATGGTCAAGAGGTCAACTGTTAGAATCGCGTCTTCGCTGTTGGATGAATTTAGTATTTGTGAATGTCAAGTTAAAAGACGCTAATTCCCTTTCTTAATAAAAATGCAGTATCTAAATGAAGCAAATGATATTTTCTCATACTTCTAATATACTTTATATATTAATTATCCAGTAATGGAAGATAAACGCCAGGCCATAAGGCATTCCAAAAAATCAAGCAAAAAATTATAAATCCTTCATTGCAAGTTTATGAAAAGAAAAGAATTCATTTCACGAGAGCAACTCCTTTGAAATGGGTCTTTTGAAATACTCTTTAACAAAGAGAGATTGAACTTTCTAAGGTTCTAAAATGCTGTTTATATGATTCCAAAATTCGACAGTCAATACCCGAAGTACATGGTTATTTACTTTTTTAATTGGATTGTATAGTTTACATTACTCAAGTGGTTCACATGTATCCTACACATAATTTAATGATGAAATTATCAAATTCTTGTAATTGGAAAGGCGCTTCGGCCTTCTCAGGACTATGGTCCATAAGGTCCATAGAAGGAGGTCTCTGAATTCCTTTCAGCAATTCCAAGGCCAAGCTTCAAAGTAAAATATTTAAATTTATTTCGAGCCACAACTGACAAATATCCTACATCCGTCATCGAAACGGAGACATGTTCGTTTTTAAACTTGGTTGACGAAATGCTTATACTCGGCATGTTGCAAGGTTACATTTGAAGTGGAGTAACTTTTATAATTGTGAAAAGTCATTGCAAACAAGGGCATGTGTTGATCAGATAATGGAGGGATTACCACTGCCACCAACATCGTAGTATCTGTAGTCGTCGTATCTCTCGTAGAGTGCCCCACCGCCAGCGACGCCGCGTTCCCAAGGCCGACGACGCTGACGAAGTGGTGATGCATTGGAGAGCAGGTAGCCTGTGGAGGCAGAGGTCGTGGAGGAGGAGGAGGTGGCGAGTGAGGCGAAGTGGTGATAGGCCGAGGACATGGCGTAGTGCTGGAAGGGCAGTGCATACCTCGACGATCGGTAAAGTGACGTCGTCGATGACGAGTAACGAGATGGCGATGTCGCGCCACCACGATCTCTGACTACCAAAGCACTTGTCTGCGTTCAAAAAAAAAATTTTTAAAACTCAGCAATTGTCTGTCCCTTCTGCCAATTCTTGCTTTTTTATTTGATTTTGTCCGACCATCTCTTTAATTAAAGCGACGATCCCTGAATATTGCTGACGTGATCACATTCAGGAATCTAGGGGGTCAATCATGAAATTTGCAAAGAGCACAGGAAATTGAATGAAAAAAATTGGAGTAAGTGAATGTATTTTTTGATTACTTACTATTGTTAATTCAGATAACTATTGATTAGAATTCAGATGAAGTAAGACTTCCATTCGATCTCCGACACTGCTTTATCCTCATACATTAGTTGCCGCAACATTCAGATGATTTTCATCGATGGAAAGTTTTCGACATTGGCAGTAAGCACAAATAATTACCAGTTCACAAGTTACAAGCTTTTAATGACATTGGCTCCAAGCTAATAGTAATATTTCTAATATTTTGTCACTTGAATTGAAGTTCTTAATTAAAAAAAAGAAAAATAACTATTTTTGAAATAATATTTTCCATATATACGCATTGACCTAACTGAAAGTTCATTAAGAAAATCATGCCTTGTATGTTAGTAAGCACATTTCATTAGAACAAACGCCAAATAACTGGGGAATCGAATTTTACTTTTCGAAATATTTGCGCAAATTGATACCTCATCATCTGATATGGATAAGTAGCACTTAAATTTTCTCAGAAACTAGTGCTTCTTCCTCTGCATAATAGGAGAAAAAAGAGGTGAATGAATAAGCAGAGTTGGTGATGGTAGAGTAAAGGCCCCCCTCCATATTCTCCTAAAAGAAGCATAGATACTAAATCAAGGTAGTTAGAAGTAATCGATATGTGCCGTGGGGCTACATTACCAGATAGTGCTCTGCTTTGTGCTAGGGTTAGGGTGAGTTTCTTGAGAGTTTAATTTCAACAAAGGAGATTTCGGTAATGATATCAGCTATGAATCAGGTATTCAACTAAATCGTGATCAAGAAATTAGTTGAACTCACATTGATGGGATTCTCCTTCTGTTTTGCAAATTTCAAAGCAGCCTCAGCTACGGCTCGGGTTGGAAGAATGTTGGCCTCAAGGGCTTCCTGCAAAGCGACAGCGGAACACCGATCAAGATCCAATACACTTAAGATCTCCTCCCTCAATCCATCCGTCAACGTCTCATTCCCTGGAATACAATGAAATGTGCATGGAAATCTGTCGGAGAGCCAAACTCTATTTATTATTAATTTAGCGTAAATAAAAATATATACTTTTAAAAAGATACACCGCAGCGCTTTAACCATACTTGATCTGATGAGCTTAACGATGCCTCTGATGACACCATCGTGGTTCTCTCTTCTGGCTAGAGGCATCGCAGTCTTTAGAAGACTGATGTATTCCTCAATGCTCATATCCTGACTTTCAATCGCTGTGTTAAAGTAGAGATCCAAGTTCTCAGCAATTGATCCTGTTTCAATTCCACTTGAAGAAGCTGTTTGCTTTCCATGGTCCGTATCAGAAATGCCAGGAATTAAGAGAGGGCCGTCACTAGTCGATGCCAGGCAACGCTTTTGTATTGTGGAGAGGATGTCTTTGATAGTTTGTGGTGGAATCAGTCTTAGCTCGTGGATACTGAAACGGGCCAACATCTTGCCAGTAATTTCCAGAATCAGCGGACGGCTAATCGAGCTCTCCCGTCGAACATCCGTTGCTGAAAGTGCCTTTTATGGAAATTTAAAATTGGCAAATTTACTAAGCGGCCTCCAATATTGTTAGGCATTTGAGAGAATATCATATTGATAAATTTAAAAAAATTATTAAAAGTATTATTTTTTAAATCGAGGACCATAAGGCACTAATCCTGTTCTGACCTTAGAAATGTAACTTTCTTAGGTAGTCTTTATTTATTTGGAAATTTTCGAGAGTCGCTTATCATTATCAATGCAAGAATTCTCGTTTTATGCTAATACTGAGACATATTTCGTCGTTCACCTTAAATTACAAATACTCGCGTTGCTGCCTTAACTAAATAAAAAAGGTCAAAAATAAGAATTTGATTAACATATTAGAAGATTTTTCATTCATATTAGGTGAATATAATAAAAAATATTGTGAATATAAAATCAAACAGAACCTGTTACCTGTTTGCACCAGTCAACATTGATTCTGCTGGCAAGGGGAACATCTTTTGGAAGGATAGAGAAAATATTATCAAGCATTTCATCCATAGAAGCGGATTCGAAACCAATTAGTGCAATTTCTTCAGCTAGAAGATCCTTATCAAAGCTACTTAACCTTTCAAGAGGAACACATGTTGTAGCAATGGCCTTTTTTAGAAAATTCGTAAACATATTGCCACTTTTGTGCTCTTGGCCTCTACCATTATCCTCGGGCTTTCCTTCCTGAGCACAATCGCCTTCTGAAATGGCATTATTTAGAGCAAATCTTAGAGCAAAGAATTTGGAAGTTAGTTCGGCAATTGCATAATGTGTGGATTTTATCGTAGATATTTCTTGAATAATTCGAATAACAACATTTTCTGGCAAGAAAACAAGAAATTCGGTTAAAACAGGATCAACTGTTAGCCGCTCATCGCTATGCTGTGCTCGGCGTGCCCACATACTAAGAATAGAGTCAAATAATCGAACAAAGGTTTCACAATATTCAAAATTCTTTATTCCAGAAGCAAAAGCAAGAGCAACGATCGCTGGTCCAAATTTATGGGTCAAACGCATGTCGGAGATAATGATGTTGACATATTCATCAGTAAGATCAACAAGATTTCGTTTTCCAAACATGTCTAGTGTGCGGCCCGCACTATTAAGAAAGGATACATTCCGAGGATTAATTTCGATCTCTTTCCCATAGCAAAAGGCGAAAACATCTGCTAAAATATCTGAACCACCATCGATAAATGGCATGTGTAGCTCAGAAGAGGAAGCAAATTTATCCTTGACATAGCCAATCTTGAGAAGAAGTGGAAATTTGTGCAGATGAAAAACTTCATTTTCGAAAAATACATTAACGTCTGAAAATTCGCCTGTCTCTAAAAGCCTTAATGGATTCATTTTGGAGAAGGAAATGATGAGTTTCGATCAAAAATTAAATTTTTTATTTAGTACTCAAAAGTGAAAATACAGAATGATTAGAAACGATAAGAAATGATTAATTTGAAAACGGTCTTCTTATTAGCGTCAAGGTTGTAATAATAAAATTGTTAAAACAATGAATTTAAATTTGTAATAATTTGTATATTTTATATTTTAAAAAAATATTATAAAACAAAAAAGAGTCATTTTTTATTTGATAGTAAATCCATGACTTTTTATGATTTTAATAATTAAATCTTTGTTACTATAAAATTGCTTTGTTTTATGTGTTTAGAAAAATTAACTTTTTATTTTGTTTAAAATTGCTTCTTCTCTGGCGTTTTATTTGCCTTCTCGCAAGGCTTATATTTGCTTGCTTATGTGGGTTTGTTATTTATTGAACAATATCATGCACATAAATTTATTTAATCCTTGAAATTATTTATACTATAGTGGCTTATTTAATCCTTGCAATGCCAAACAAGAAAAAGGCTCAGGTTCGTCAAGTATTCTTTGAAACAAATATTATTTTGACTCTTATTAAAGTTATTGCTATTTCAAGGTTTTAATCTTTAATTATTTCGTAGGCGAAATCAAACATTTCAAGTTCCAGTAATAACGATGTTTCTGAGGAAAATCCAGTTACTTCTAGTTCCTCCTCGGTGCCTCCTGAAGATGCTGCGAAATTCAATGAATCTGATTTGATCAAACAACTCACGAATGTCATGCTCACAGCTCCACGCGAAATTTCCAGCATGCCTGTGTCAAAACCCGTAAAAAAATCAAAAGAGGACTACAAATTTTGGAAAACTCAGCCTGTTCCAGATCTAGGTAATTATCTTTTGTGATAATTTCTTTGTCCTTAGGCGAAAAGATATCCGGAAATGAGGCGATTGAACCTGATCAACCAGTTTCTGAAATTCGAGTAGAACCCTATGCTCTCCCGGCTGGTTTTGAATGGTCTGATTTAGATCTAAATTCTAACGAAGTGCGAATTCTTTATTTCTCAATATATGCTAAATCATTTTTGATTTTATTCCTTTTCAATTCCTGTTTAGCTTGATGAATTATACACCCTTTTGAATGAAAACTACGTTGAAGATGATGATCACATTTTCCGGTTTTCTTACGCTCGCGAATTTCTTAAATGGTATTTAATTTTTCGATTTAATGTTTGCATTTTTTATTACCCCTCGCCATTTTTTACTCTTTTAGGACCATGCAACCACCAGGCTGGCGACCCGAGTGGCACGTTAGCGTTCGTGTCTCTAAAAATAAGAAACTCGTTGGCTTCATTGCTGGAATGCCTTGTGATGTTCGTGTCTATGACAAGTAAGCACATTTTTTTGGTATCTTAATTAATTGTTAACCGATAGCCCTCGAAATATTATTTCATGCTAGTTTTGATAAGTGCTATTATCGTGATTGTGACTGTAGTGGTATTTTTCGAATGAACCTCATCAATTCTTTTAAATTTCTTTGCATTAGAGTAAGAAAGATGGTTGAAATCAACTTCCTCTGCGTTCACAAGAAGCTACGTGACAAACGAATGGCTCCTGTTCTGATTAGAGAGATTACGCGACGTGTCAATCTCCATGCCATCTTTCAGGCTGTCTACACAAGTGGTGTTGTTCTTCCTCGACCCGTCGGTACATGCAGGTGTGTCCCTCAATCTCAGTTTATTTGGTCTTTCCTTATTTTGGGTACTTATGTGCAGTTAAGAAACGGAAGAATTAGCTTTCCCCTCATAGTATTACATTTGTGCTTGGTGTGTGGTATTTTCTTCAGTCTTGAAAATTATCTGTTGAAACTGTGTATAGGAAATAGATGGCACTCATTGTTAATGAGCGCTTTTGAATTTGCGCCTCTTGATTTTTCTTTTGTTAAGGTATTGGCACCGTCCCCTGAACCCACGAAAACTCGTGGATGTGGGCTTCTCGCATCTAACGCGTACAATGACTCTGCAACGGGCGATCAAGTTATACCGTCTTCCGGAGGAGAACTCCTTACCCGGCTTCCGTGTTCTAGAGGCCCGGGATCTGCCTGCCTGTCGGAAACTTCTCTCCGATTATCTCGAAAGACAATCCAAGCTCTGTCCTATCTTCTCCGAAGAGGAATTTGGGCATTGGTTAGTCCCCCCCTGTTTCTGCTGACTCTTTGAAATAGTTGATTGTGTTGCAATAACTTCTCCATGTTCTCTTCGACTTTTATTTTAATGTTCTTCTGTTTTAGAATAAATAGCAAATCTTCTGCTTTTAATGATTGCAGATTGCCAGTATAAATCGTATTTTCTTGGAATCTCACGTGATTATTCGTATTTTATTACTTTCCATTTGATTTTAAACTCCATTTATATATCTATTCGGAAATGTAGTAATTGTCTACTTATTTTGAATCCAATGTATTTAATTTGTCTTTAAAAGTAGCTATTCGCAAGCTTTTTCGTATTCCTTTTAATTTCCTCTGACATCTTTTATATTCTAATTTAGTTGAAAGAATTTCTGAAAATTATTGTACTGAGTACGAAGATATCACTTGAGAGTTTTGCTATCTTGACGACAAAATGTATTACAGTTTTGTAATAATATGAGTTTGTATATGGCATCTCAGACTTGTTAGTGCTAATAGCTAATATGGCTGAAGCTAGCTCCTAGCTTCTCCTCTGTCCATACACAGCCGCCCTCTACTCACGCCAATTTAAGTAGTATATCTATTTAGGTTCCTGCCACGAGATGGCGTAGTGCACAGCTATGTAGTGGAGGCCGAGGACAGCGGTCAAATTACCGATATGGTGTCATTCTACTCGTTGCCAAGTTCGGTGATGCAGCATCCACGCCACAGTTTACTTCGTGCCGCCTACTCCTTCTACAACGTCGCCACAGCCACTCCCTGGAGCACTCTCATGAAGGAGGCTCTCATTGTTGCCAAAAACGTACGTGCCCCCCCTCCCCCCCCCCCCTCTTCTACCCATTTCCTACATTATATTCCCCCCCCCCCAAGCGCCCTTTTGTAGAATGGTTCTTTAGAGTAGACGACACTGTGCAATAGGATAGAGAGAAAGGGCAGGGAGGAGACAAGTTTTCCAAAATTCATGTATAGCCCGTGTGCAACTTTGTTGAGACTCCTATTCCGAGGCAGATATATAAGGTTGACAAATGCGCGCGGCTATTGTGGTTGAATGAGAAGACTGTAAGCATAGATCACCCAGTTCATGTGTGCTGTTTATGTAGAAGTAATGTTGTAGTCGGTAGATGTTTCCTATGAAGTTGTTATTACTGCAATGGAGGAAAAAGAGAGCATCACGTTTGGCCGTTGAGTTGTTAATGCTCCTAACTGAAAGTAATTGCAGTTTACTTATCATGCTTAATTGTCACTGTATTTGATGTGGACAACAAAGCCGAGGGATGATTAGATATGCTAGGCAAAGGTTGCTGATACAGGACTTGAGTACTTATCAATGCACTTTGAATATAAAATTGGCTTGCATGTGATGTCTTCCTCGTGAGCAGTGTGAGTAAGAGGCTGTGAATTGCAGCTGACCCCACACTCTACAGAAATCCCCAACTTGAGTTAAATTCTGGCCTCAAAGTTCTAATTGCATCTTCCAATATTACATTTTGTTGTGAAATTCAAGGATTTGTTCCCAGTAAGTAAAGTCTTGACGTAATTCAAGTCGATAAGGTTGGTTAGATATCAAATTTACAGAAAGCGCTCCTTTTAGGGAAGGAAGATCATTATTCATTATTTCTCATCGCACATTCGATTTGTCGTTGAGGAGGCGGAGCGCCAGTGTAAAAAATTTCGCCAATTCCTATAATTTCCCATTTCGATCTCGAGAGGTAATAATTGAATTGGCAAGGCCATTGAGCCTTCTTTGTTTTCGGCATCTTTCCCATCTGTCCATTATTCTCAGAGTTGAGTATTGCAAAATAGTTTTTGCGTTAATGTGGAAGTCAATAAATGTAAGGTAATGTAAGAGTAATTGAGTTAATCTATCCATCTCAAGACTTTGAATGAATTGTCTGCTTTGAGGCTATCTTCCTTCTCTCCTTGTAAAATGTGACGTTGCGTAACAATGTTCCCTGACCTCGTGTGCTGTCTCTCTCTCTCTCTCTCCGAGTACATCACGTTGGGACTATAATGTCTCATTAACGTTTAAGCGTTTCCTCTAGGGTACTATTCTAATATCGTTCTCTCTTTATTTGTTTCTATTTTAAGGTTTTTTAACTTTGTTATGTTTCAACTACCAACTCATAGCTTTGCCTTTGGTTATTTCCATCCAACTGTTCTCTCATGCGAGATATTTTCCATTAAGACTGCTCTTCAAATGCATCCCTAACGCCAAAGGCGATCGTTGCCTCCTTATTGGCCTCCAAAATGATCGCGTATCTCAGAACTCAATGAGAAAACGTGGCTATCTTAAAAAGCTAGGCTTTATTCCAAAATCTGCGAAACACAGCCTGCTATTTAGCTTATTTTTGCAAATGCGAATTTAATAAATAGTAGAAATTGCATTTTATTTTCTTTGCAGTTGGGCTATGATGTATTCAACGCGTTAGATTTGCTAGAAAACGCCAAATTCTTTGAAGATCTGAAGTTTGGCATCGGCGATGGAAACTTACACTACTACCTCTACAACTGGCGGTGTCCAACTCTTAAACCGGAAGAGGTATTGATTTCCTCCATCTTTTTGTCTGTTACAGTCGAATTCTTGCTAACGAATAGTCTTTTTTCCTTTAGGTTGGTGTTGTCTTGCAGTAGAAATTAGGAAAAGAGGGAGATTGAGTTAGCCATCTTTCAAAATCCTTCCGTCCACACATAGCCCAAAACTCGTCTATTGGGAGGCTTTGTGTTCATCTCTTTCTCATCCATTCCTCCCACTATGTGCTCCCTCTTGCGAATAAAATGTTTTTCCACGTGTGAAACACCCGGCGCATCTCATTTATCTCTGATATTATTGGTGATATGGGGTTGGGAAGGTTCGTAGTATTTTGAGGGCGGGTGTCTTGGTTGCTAAGATCCAGTTTAAAGTATCACAATGCGGTGCCTAGTATATCCATTCGTCGAGCCAGAGATCGCAATATCGACTTCCATCGATTCACAACTAATGGTGTGAATGGCCGGCCGGGTTGGCTATTTATAGTTACAATGGCGCATCACGTCTGAGGTGCTCCAACGTAGCTTCCATCTATCAGTTGATGCAGCACCATGACTTTTTTGGTTGAGTCATCTTTTATGTGTCTTGTGATTCTATTTAGGTAATACACAGCGTTCCAAGTTCTGGTAAGGTGGAGGATATGTAAAAGGGTGACCAAAGTGTTCGACAAATCGCATAAAATAAATCCCTAGTCAAAAGAACATGTTAAATATTTGCGTATTACCAACGTCCATATTTTAACTCATGAAATAATTTTTATGTGATAAAAATCAACATAACAGAAGAATATGAGAAGAGTAAGAACTTAGTTTAACAAAATTATTTATTTATATCAAATGGAAGGCGTTTTGATGGTTACCATTAGCCCTTTAGTTGACTTCAGGCTTCACAGAGGGGAAGGAACATCAATGTGAAAAAAGTCGAGAGGGGGTGGAACAGAAGAGTATTTCAAAGACGAAGGTAGAAAAAGAAGTGAGGTGAGTACTGTGGAAGGGGTCGAATAAGACATGGAGTGGGGTGATGGTAGTTTGAAGTCAGAAGTCAACTGCCGGTTAATAGACTTTTTTGACGTATGAGTAGACGTTGCCCAGGGTGCACCACGTGGAGGTAAGTCTACCGCACACCCCAATTTAACAAAATAATAGCTTGGGAAATAATTTATACAAGTGACCGATGGTTGTCATCCGAGACAAGGTCTAATTGACAATACACTCGCATGTGCAATTAGTAGTTAAAGACCATGCTCGAAATTGAGTTAGTTATAAACTATAAGGGAGATATATATTTAAAAATTTCCGTGATCACCCTTGATGATTTGGCTGAAAAATCACATTTAATAAAAGTTAAAAAAACGAAATAAAGAAGTAAGTTATTTTGATTAACCCTTCTACTTTTTGTAGTTTTTGAAGAAATGGCTAAAAAATATGGAATTACATAGATAACAATCTTCAATCACTTTTAATACGATATTACTTCAGTCCTTTTTGGTCATTATTTTGATTACCCCGAATGAGGCGTTTAACACATTACTTGAATTAATATATTATACAGTTTTAACCACATTTCGTTATTTACTAATTTAATTAATCTAATTCGCGAACAGATTTTATTTGGGTCTTCTTAGATTTATTACATGGGGCGTGCGATAGACTTACCTCCACGTGGTGCACCCT